ATATACCCAAACTGTCTCTCTTCGTGGCGTGTCTATTCATCTTTGTCTCACACCCACCGAGGCCGCCGAGGTATCTCACCCCTCACCCACCCCCCACCCCCATGCTACTCCCTTCCTGGGACCTGCTGCCCCTTGGGGAATGGTGCCATTTTATTTTTACCATTACAGTGTGCTTCTACAAGAAGTTCAGAGTGGACTCCAGAGTCAAGTTAGGGTTGAAAGGGCGATGTCTCATGGGCAGCCATTACTGAGGATGGACAGGGCTTAGAGAGCAAGAAGCTAGACAAATTAGTTACTTTAGTTTCAGGAATTGTCGTTGTTAAGCCAAAATGAGTGACCTCTGAAAATGAGTGGCCATGGCTGACAACTATTGCACTTCCTTGTTTGACCGTTTTCTCTGAATTGAAATACTCCACACAGGAGGGAGAGAGGCTCACATCTCACATATCTGGGAGAACAGAAACTTCGATGATGCTGGGTGACTGGCTCCAGCAGCTTAAAATGAATACTGCTGGGGGGCGGGGGCGGGTCTCTGACCAGCCCACGATGAAGAGAAGAGAGACTCAGACAATCCAGCTCCCTGCCAGCTGTGAGGAGAGCTGCAGGGGGCAGCCTTCCTGAGTCCCCATCAGTGTTGAGGTGGCTTTTGTGTGATGCAGCTGCTTTTGAGTCATCCTGACCTCATGTGTGACCTTCATCCAAATCCTGTTAGTAACCACAGCAAAAGGTCAGTCAGTTTACCAGCTTAGACGTTAGTGCCATCATTACTTTGGTTTGTCGCTGGCTCCCTTTCTGACCCAAAATATGTGTGTAAGTGTGTGTGTGGTGCCTCCCCAGGAAACATCTGTCACAAACCATTCTTCCCAAATTCTGGCATTCCAGTTCTCCATGACCATGTTCAATTATTCATGCAATGGTTTACATGTTTCTTTATTGTGTGTATCTCTACATATGTGTCATGGTACTTGTGTGACTGATAATGGACAATATGCAGGAGTTGGTACCCTCCTTCTACCATGCAGATTTCAGGGATTGAACTCGCGCTGTCAACCTCGGCAGCAAGCACCTCCTTACTGTTGGGTCATTTCCCAGGCCCTGCAATAAATAACTGACAAGCCAAATATTCAGCACCAATAACTGACAAACAATGCAAGCAAGCCTTCCAGCATGGCAGGCAAAGGAATCTGATAGCATGCACTTTAAAAGCGCCTGTTGGGGAAGGCCATCCAAAGTCAGAGGAAGCCTTCTTTGAGCAGGTGGAGATTCAGCCAAGGCCTGAGAGGTGCGTGGGGTTAGGTAGTAAAGAAAGCAAGTGCCTTGTGCCTCAGCCCTCGCCAGCCTTCGACCACCAGCCTTCCCCGCTGGAAAGTCTTTCCTCCTATGGCGACACCGCCTGCTCCTCAGGCCCAGGAGATGGCTGCTCTTTGATAAACCTTCTCTGACTGAGAGCAGTTTCTCCTTTATCCTTCCACAGCACTTAGTTTTAATTTTTCTTTGACAATTCTCACTTTCTGCCTCATTTTTCTGGCTATTTCTATAGGCAGCTTATCTGTTTCTACTAAATTGTAAACTCACTAAGAACAGAGTCTGTTTCTCATTCATCTTGACTCCCTCCCTATGGCTGGCACATTCCTTACTCTTAGAAGTCTGGAAACAAATGTGTCTAGCGTAGGGAATGCCTGTTTGACGTCCCTTTTCAAATGGATTTCATTCAAATGAAGCTATTGTTGCAAGCTATGCCTTCAGGACTGAACTTATTCTTTGGTTAAACCAGAATGCTCCGGTCATGGTCCCCAAGACTGATTGGTGTTCGCCACAATGGCCACAGCAGTCATAACAAACAAGCCACTGTTCTGGGCTGACAGGCCTTTGGCCAGAACTGCCAGCTCTCCGGTGTCGGCTGAAATGAACTGATGAAGGGGTGTGAATTGAGGTGCCCCGTTCAGCGGGGCTCTATTTATTCCTTGCATTTGAGCTCTTAGGGCCAGTGACCCAGACTTCAGCCTGATGTGAAATAAGTCGGCAGGGATGGATGGCACCAAGGTTGTGGGGCTTTCCAGGGAGACAGAAACAATGCTTGGGATAAAAATCACCACAGATCAGCATGGGCGGAGAGCATTGAACTCTGAGACCATGATAACAAGTGAAGGCAGCGTCAGTGCTGCAGAGACCTAGGTCCAGATCCCAGCTACCCACAGGCTCTCACTCACGCTCCTTCTGTCAGACTCTCATTTGATTTCTCATTTAAAAATATTCCATAGATACTTCACAAAACCAAAAACAATGTCAGATGTACAATGACTGTATACTCTTAAATTTGTGTATTCAGCTGTCTTACCTAATAGGCTTTGTTCTCTTGGGAGCAGGGACTTATTTTTGCCGCTATCTCTGCAAATCCTAACAAATGCCCCGCACATTATAAATACTGGTAAATATCTTTTACACAAATGAACATCAGTGATGTTTTTGTCCATTTGTTTTTGATTTTTTTGTTTTTTGTTTTGTTTTTGAGACAGGATTTCTCTGTGTGGCCATGGCTGTCCTGGAACTTGCTCTGTAGACCAGGCTGGCCTCAAACTCAAAGATCCACCTGCCTCTGCCTCCCGAGTGCTTGGATTACAGGCCCGTGCCTCCACTGCCCAGCTACGGTAGCTAGTCTTGATAGAGTAATACTTCATATCCGCTATTGTTGTAAACAGTAGTTCACTTAATCCAATAGCCCTAGAAAGGTTATACCATGTTAATAAAATTTTACAGCAGAGAAGACAACATATATGCATAAGCTGATGACATGATCGCTCCAGGTATGGGAAGTTTTATTGTAGATATGAGAGAGAACAGCCAGGGCATCTATCGGAGCCCAAGCAGAGAGAGAAAGAGCAGTTGGCTGAATACAGCCCGCAGACTGGACATGGCCAGTGCTAGGGAAGTGGGAGAGAGAAGAGAAAACCTGTGAAAATAGCAGGAACGGAAGGGGGCACAGGGAAAATAGCCGGGTTTCAAGAAGGCTGAGTAGCTGTCAGGAGGGAAGCTCTGAGCTGAAGGGAGTTTAGAGTGGCAGAGGAGGCAAGCAGGTCTAGGATGCTGTAACAGGAACTGTGCTGCTGTAGGAGCCTGGAGACCAGCGCGTGCGTGCGTTGATTGCTAGGAAGTGACTGCCTTTGATAGACAGCAACCAACTTTTCAAGTTCCTGAGGAGTGATGGCGTTTATCTAGCAGTCAGAAATCTCCTGTAGTCCAGGTTGAGCTCATTTCTAGATATTTGGACTGCCTTTCAGGGAATTGGAGTTTCCTTTGGACCTGACATGTGTGAGTATGTGTGTGTGTGTTAATTTTGTTGTGTTGGAGTCTACACAGCCTTGGTTGACCCAGAATTTGCTGTGTAGACCAGACTGGTCCTGAATTGACAAAGATTGCCTTATCTGCCTCCTAATTGCTGGGATTACTCAAAGTAATAAAATTGATGTTATAAAGGACTTAGTGATAGATTTGCTTAGGAGACAGTAGGCCACACAAGTGGACATAGTTAAAGGAACAGTGCCTTCAAAATACCCAAAGATAAGTAGCATGATAACCAGGCCTCTTAGACAAGTGAAATTTAGGATGCCCGGATGTGAATGTTTCCTCACCAGGACTGACCCGCTGCTATTCGGTCATATCTGCCATTAGACATACTCCTCAGAGGGGAGCTCAAGAGGGCGTCTTAGGGAACAGTCACCATCAAATCCTGCTCTGCAGTTAAGTCCCCTGTGTTCTTAACAGGAAAGACATAGTTTTGCCAGGTGGACAGGATGACCCTGGGTAACAGCCATTCAAAAAAGAACAACACTGCTATACTTAAAATAATTCTGGAAATAGATAATATTTCTGCTTTGTAAATCTCTTATGTTCCTAAGAAGCCAGACTTGTAGTATCCTGTCTCTGTTCAAATTGATCAAAGTGTAACCTGGGGCTGGGCCCTGAAAGAGACTTAAGGTGACACTGTGGAATGTATAAGCTTATTGTGTATATGAGTCAGTAAACTCTTCTGTCAAGGCCCGCTCTAACTTAGGCTTTAACCACAGTCGGCCAGGCACTTTAGTATAGAGCTTTTCTTCATTCATCTCTAAGTGTGAGAAGGGATTTTTGACTAGGAAGGCATATTCTATAACTAACTGGCTCTCATGAAACTAGAGGACCAGACAGTTGTGAACATAACTCAGGTCTTTAGCAAGAGCAACAGATGCTCTTAGCTACCTCGACAGTCCTGTTTTAGTTTGTGGAATGCCCTGTGTGTGTATGCCCACGCATATGTAATCTGAGTGATTGTCTGGCTTAGCTTAGTTTTTCCTACGTATCTTTTATTTTTTTGATACTGTAATTTCTTAATTTATCTGTGTTTTCTTAAGAGTCTTTCCTACACTAAACTTTGTTATAGTGGTCGTTGCTAATGATGGTTTCCCTCTCCTCTTCACTCCATTTCAAACCTGAGTTTTCTTCTAGGTAACCAGACAGTTCACAGCCAGCAGATGGCACTGTAGCAGGAATGAACAGAATTCTTAGGGATTTTTGACAACCACTCTCATGATTTAGTGCATCACTTTCACCCAGACTCTAATAAAGCAGACTGAATTGTCTATAATTAAAGGCTCCAGCTTACAAAGTAGAACCTACAGCTTTGTCTCCGGTACCCACTCCATCATTAGACTGATGCCTTTCATCATCTTGTCAAAATATCCTCAGTGAAGCCATGACAGGTCAGATTTCTGAATAAAGTGCCTGAGGTGACCCCAGCGTGACTTAAATGCAGGAGATAAAGGAAACTATCCTGATAGTTTAAGGAAAAGAAAAACCCATTCTAACAAACAGGAAATCGCCTGAACGCTTCTGACAACGGAGTGAAATATGGGGCTTTTGTTGTGAAGTTCCTTATTTCGTCTACAAAATTCAGACGCGGTTTGGCTAGATTTTCGCCAGGAGAAGCCACTCAACAAGAGCAGTCCCAGAAGCCTGGGTAACTGCTGCGTCCCCCTCCGTCCTCATACTTCCTCGTTGGGTTTCAGATATTACAGAACACAGTACTACTGCAGAGCATAGAAGCAAAACAACGAACAAAAAACTGTATCCCCAAGAAGATAGGCCCACCCTCCTGACAGCGGTGCTGTTTCCAGCTTACTATGGTAAGATGAAGTGACCCTGCTGTAGTCTACAGACGTGAGCCACCAGTCTGCTTTCCGGTGTCCTCGTGAAACTGTACCTGATTTCATTACCAGTTGTCACCTACATGTGTTGGAAGAAAAGGGATGGTTTTCTTTTGTTTCTTGGTCAGGAATCACTTGGTCCTGAAAGTCTTGTTCTCAAGAAGATACGCGGCGGAGAACATGTTCTAGCACACTGCGCGATGGAAAAAGAGCATAGTTGCTCTGCCCGGATTGTAGGCAGGCTGTTGCTCTCACACTCATAAACACACACAAAGCAGCAGCCACAGCGGAAATCCTCCAGCCTTTATTTTTCAAACACACGGAACTGTCCAGTCCGTCCAGCCTGACAGACGCAAGCTGCAGACAGATGGTTGCCAAGACCACAAAGGAAGCTTCGCAGGCCACGCCCGCCTCATGCTAGGCAGGGACGCCGACACGACGATAGGAGGGTCCTTAGCTCGACTATCTGCTAGTTATGTCTGATTGAGTTCGGCGTTCTTCTCTCGGCCCTTGCGCTTGCGTACTACGGCTCGTTCCCGTCACCCAGGCCCGGATCGGGAAGTGTCAAAGTGGGAGCCGGGAGCCCCCGCCTTCGCCGCCGCTACTGCTGTACCCGGACTCTCATCCCGGTCGGGCCCTACCGCCATGACGAACGGTGAGAGCTAGAGGCCGGAGCGAAGGGTGGCGGTAGAAGACGGGGGAACAAACGTGGCGGGCGGGGCTAGACTGACGTGGCCGTTCCCCCCGCCCCCTCCCAGCCCAGCCCCCCTGGGCCTTGGGGAGCCCCTAACTCCTGTCTGGGATGCTTCTCGCAGGTTCCCTCTTCTCACGCCCATCAGTGTTCCCCAGCACTGCCTAGAGCCCACATCTGACTTTTTGATTATTATCCTTTCTCTCTTTCCTAGAAGTTGTTCTGGCCACTGGGGAGGTCGGTCACCATAGAATTAGTGCTGTTAGTCTCTAGGGAACAGAGGGTATCATCATCATGTTCCCTAAAGTCTCCTACTTTCGGACAATAGGCTGGTTGAGAGGACCTAGAAATGGTATCAAAACCCTCACTTTGCGGGGGAGGTGAATGTAGACAATCCCCAAAGTTTTTTGTATGTTTGTTTTTGTGACAAAAAGCCGTCACTTGTTTGGTTTTAAAGTCCTAGCTGGGTGGTTCCATCTGGAGCTTCTGGCTTATGTCGCAAAGGGTGGATTTAGAAGCCGCCTTTTGTTACTGATGGTGCACTTGCCCCCCTGTTTAGCTCGCTTAACTTTTCCAGGCTGCTTCAAACGATTTTATAGTCATGCCTTCCAAGTTCTAGAGGAGGAATTAAGACCTTTATAGTCAGTCTTGCAGGAACGGAAGTTAGAAAGCATATGTGTGTATATATATATGCACACGCACACACACACACACACACACACACACACACACACACACACACACACATATATATATAAAATTGGAGGAGCTCAGGAAAGCATTTCTCACAGACTTGACACGGAAGACTCAAATGTCACGTCCTTGTGAATTTTGGCATTGTCTACAAGAACAGTTGTCAACAAGCAGCAAAAGAGTAGCACATCAAGATGTCCATGACAACTGTGAATGTACTGATGTTCTGGAACTAGCTGTGAAATACTTTCCCTGGAGGAAGAGGAAGACAGACAGTGTGGTCCAGAACTGGGAGGAGCTGGCAGACACTGGTTGTATGTAATATCCATTTGAAGCTTTCTGGGTAGTCAGTCTTACCACAGTACACAGAGTTAGAAAAGGAACATCACCCAGAGGAAGACATAATGTGAACTAGGAAACACATTCTGGTGTAGTGGATAAAATTTACTTTTATGTAATTCATTTTGCTTACCTATATAACACATGAAACAGAACTAAAAGCTTACCATGGTGTCTAAGCATCGAACACGTTTTTGTTGTGGTTGTTTTTGAGACTGGACTTCACACGATGTATGTGGCATGCCTCTAAGCCTGGCATTGGCAAGAGGGAAGCGGGCAGGTTTAAGGTCAGCCCTGCCTACACATCTGTAGGACACGGTCTCCCTTTGTGGCTTAGGCTGAGCTTTCTAATGCCAATATCACAGCAGTGCCTCATTGTGGATGCACTTTTTGGATGTCAGTTTTTCTTATCTTTTTTCTCCTTATGCACACATTTTGTTCTGGCAGTAATCTGATCTGTAAATGGTGACGCATGCTTGAAGTCTCAACTGAGTATAGCAAAAGTGTAGCCATGTGAAGTCGAACTCTTGGAATTTCCACTAAGCTTTATGGTCTGCCTTCACATGCTTTATTGAAAGATGCAGATCCGAAAAACTTGGCTTAAGATTGAACTTTCCTTCATCAGATGAGTGATTTATACCAAGAACATGTGTAAATCTTTATGCTCAGACTCTCAAGATCCTTAAAACCTTGTGTAAGCACCAGTTACTCCCAAGAGTCTGCACAAATACGCCCGTTTTTTGTTTGTCCTGAGGCTGGGGCAGTAAAGTGGTGAAGAGGCTGTTTACAAGCAAGTTGGGGAAGTCGTACTGGGTGTCGGACCCTTCCTGTTGAGTGTTGGCACTGCTGTTGAGGTGATCTCAGCACTGAGCTCTGGGCAGGCTCCCCTCCCCCAAACCAGAGAGAGCAGCACCAACGACCTTTTCTTCTTCTTCGTGTGACAGTGTACTCCTTGGACGGGATTCTGGTGTTTGGTTTGCTCTTTGTTTGCACCTGTGCCTACTTCAAGAAAGTTCCTCGTCTCAAAACCTGGCTGCTCTCAGAGAAGAAGGGAGTTTGGGGTGTGTTTTACAAAGGTAAGGTTTTATCTGGACACAGAGAGGAGAAAGAGGTTTCTCGGCAGTGTGGTTCTATAAACTAGAAGGCACGTGGCCAGGGTTATGTTTTCGTTCATCTTTAGTATGATGTGCTGTGGGTGTGTGTTTGCTGCTCTGCACACCTGGCTAGCCAGCCTGTGAGCCCTCCATGAGTTGCCCAGAAAAACTGAGAGTACAGATATGTGTGACTCTGGCCAGCTTTCTGTGGCTTCTGGGGTTTTAACTCAGGTCCTCACGCTTGTGTGAATAGTGCTCTGCCCAGTATCTGTTAATAATATAAAATAGTCATTTCTGCATTTGAGGGAAGAGGTAAATTTTAAATTTGCTGTTACTTAAGGCATACTTGTTTATTTTACTGTCTAGGTAGTTTTGGTATTCTAGGATTAAGTAAAAGTCTACAATGCCAATTGTGGTACATGCTTATAGTCCCAGTTACTTGGGAGGCCAAGAAGCCAGTGTGAGCGACAGAGTAATATTCTGGTTTTTGGGGTGAGGTGGGGATATGTTACAAGTTATATAATTTTATATAGGAGGCTGAAATTCCTCCTAGCAGGAAGAATATTTTTCCATCGCTTTAAAAAAAATTTAAGATTTATTTTATTCAGATGAATAATTTGCTTGCATGTATGTCTGTGTACCACGTACATGCCTGGTGCCTGAGGAAGTGGTGAGCCTCCCTATGGGTGCTGAGAGTCAAACCCAGGTCCTTTGAAAGAACAACAGGTGCTCTTAATCACTGAGCCAACATTTGCAGCCTATCCTCAGATTTTTTTTTTTAAGCAGAACACATTGGAACCTTAACTTTTTGCTCAAAGAATTCATATACATATATTAAATTTGTTATTTTGAGCACCTTCATCAGAAATCCTATGGAACTATGTTTTTAAAGTAGGGTAAAATAGGGACAGGCATGGTGCTACATACCTGTAATTCTAGCATTCAGGAGTTCAAATCCTCAAATCCAGCCTAGATTGCATAGTGAATTTTTTTTTTTTTCCGAGACAGGGTTTCTCTGTAGCTTTGGAGCCTGTCCTGGAACTAGCTCTTGTAGACCAGGCTGGCCTCGAACTCACAGAGATATGCCTACCTTTGCCTCCTAAATGCTGGGATTAAGGGTGTGTGCCACCACCACCTGGCTGCATAGTGAACTTTTGACTCAAAAAGAATTAGCGAGGCCAGGCATGGCAGCACACACCTTTAATCCTAGCATTTGGGAGGCAGAGGCAGACAAGCAGGTAGTTTCCTATGCAATTATAGACATTCTTGTTCTACCTATAAATTCAAGGCCAGCCAGGGCTACATGGTGAGATTCCAGCTCAAAAAATAAGAAGGATCAAGGGGATAAGCAATCACGTAGAGCCTAGAGCATAATATATCATTTAAGAACATTCCAAGACTCTGGAAACTTCAGTTCCCTTTAGAGGTTTCAGAACATGGCTTTAGAAGCAAAGGTTTCGTGAGGAGCAGCATGTAACATCTCTGTACTTCTCTCTTCTAGCTGCTGTGATTGGGACCCGGCTGCATGCTGCTGTTGCAATTGCCTGCATTGTAATGGCCTTTTACGTCCTGTTTATCAAATGAATTCCCAAGTATCCCACTCATCAACTACCAACCAAGGGGATAAAGATGAAGAACTTGCCGGAAACCTGGACCCAGTGTAGGAGAGTTCAACTAGAGTCATCAGTGTCCCTAAGATGACACTGCAGCATCTGTCTGCCATATGTGGGGGAACTCATGGTCACGAACATTATTTTTACGCCAGGGGACTCCAGAAAGCCAACTTTTCTTGACCTTTCTGTTAATCCGCCCTCAGCAGCAAGCATATATCTCCAGATAAATCACACCCCTTGGATATATGATTATGTACCTTCTGCTTAAAAAACCTGGGGTTCAATGGTAGAACATTTGCTTAGCATTGTCAGGATCCTGGATTTGATCCCCAACACTAAAAAAAACAACCAACAACTGGTCATCTATTTTGCTACCTTTTAAAACTGAGGCTTATTAGGGAAGGATGTAAGGATACAGGCTGTATTCAGACTTCCTGGAAGGGGAGACATTTGGGGTTTTTTTGTTTGTTTGTTTTTATTTTTTTTGAAACTGGGTCCTTGCATAGCCCTGGCTGTCGTCAAGCTCTCTATAGACCAGGCTGGCCTCAAACTCACAGAGATCTGCCTGCCTCTGTCTCCTGAGTGCTGGGATTAAAGGTATATGCCAGAAGATAATTTTTAAGGCTTGACTTTTTTATTGGCTAATTTGGATCTGGTGAATTGGGGAGGGAGGGTGGGACTGGGCTGGGTGAGAAATAGGAGTTATGAAAGGCCAGGAAATGGTTTGAAATGTGTTTTTTCTATGACCATCTGGGAGCTTAAGAGAGCATGAATCTCAGTGTAGAGAGCACAGATTGCCACATGCTTGTAACTTGAGGGTTTTCCTAAGAGAATCTGAGCATGTGTGCAATCCAGGGTTATCGAGTTGGAGACTAGAAGCAGTGTCTGAGACCAGAAAGCATTTGCTGCTTGCCAGTGCCCCCAAAGATAACTCCACTTGACCAACTGATAGCAGAAAGTGAACCAACTCTTGCTATTTCCTAAAGCTTTTTAAATTACACAGTGCTAAGTACTGTTACTCGGTTTTAAGTACCAATGCCAGGGGAGGGAACTATTGAATGAATAATTAATTAATATATTTGGAATTCTGGTAGAAGAGATAAGTAAATTAGTATAACAATTCATATACTAGTAAATTCATTTAGTATAAGAATTTACTGTAATGAAAGCATATATAGATGGGAATTCTGTCATGTTATAAAAGACGCAAGCCTGTTCTTTAATCTGGGTGACAGCAGTTTTTAGTTGTTCCCTGCCAGCTCTCGATTTTCTTCATACTGCAGTGTTTCACTGTTGTATCTCCTATAAGACCATGAGAAATTGAAATGAGAGGGGTCACGATATTAGCATATTGGACAGCTCATAGAATCCATTCATCAAATGAGTAAAGGGAAACGGAGCTTTCCAGCTGAGTATTCAGGGCTTTCCCTGGGTGTGGACTCCTGAACAGATGACGTTAGACGGCTCAACATTTGAAGGGAAGACTGCTCTGTTCCTTCCTCTGTGTGCCTGCAAAAGAATCAGCTGTTAGCTGTAAAGTCTACAACAATCTTTAAAAAAAAATAGGTCTAATATTAATGATAATACACCAGGGTATACACAGGCTTTCCAGTTGAATTGTCCATGTAAAGCTTTAGGACAAGCGCTGTGGCTCACTCCCAGTTAAGTTCTCTTATCTGCATACGCTACAAGGACAAAGGCTGCTGGAAGCTTAGGTTCCAGTGCCTCTGAGTGCTTTGATTGTAGCAGTATAAAGCACTGTATGCGTGCGCATCTCTCTCCAAGACCTGGTCCACGGGGCAGATTGCAGTGGTTGCTGTTTCCGTGGTCATTCCTGAGGATTGTTCACAGGAGGAAGACGAAATCTGATGGATCTGGAGAGATAGAGCCTGAGTGTGAGTTGGGGACCTGATGACCCACTCACTGGGTGTCCCGTGGGAAGCAGGTTCAGCACTTTGTTTTTGATGACCTGTTTTCACTAGTAGGGCTGATGTCTCCAACGGTGGTCTGTAGAGCGGCTTCATTTCTTAGACAGCTTTCATTCTGAGTCTCTTTCATGGGTCCTCTTGGCCTAAATGCCTGAGTTGGTAGATTTTAAGATTTTTTTTTTACCAGAATGTTCCAAAAAGTACATGAAGAAGCAAATAGCCTGTTTTACTTCTTAACTCTTGACTTTATGTAAGCAAGTACATAGGAGCCTGCTGTACTTATTATTTAGACTGATGTGTCTCAAAAACTGACAAATTGTTCCTCTAGGGAAAGTCCTCTAGGGGTGGAGGTATGAGGGTAGCAATATTGCCTCAGATTCAGGTTCATTACCACGAACCCTGTGCACCAGGATCAAATGAAATAAGCTCCTTTTTATAGTTGAAATACCATTTTTTATTCACCATTGTTGGCACAGTCCTTGAAAATAAACCTTTTTCCCTGTGGCTGTGGTCTGCTTTGTTGTGTGTGTTTACTGACCTGCTCAGCACTTCCTTGGGTTCTTCCCATAGCGTGGCGTGTTGGCTCACCTGCGTGAATGTTGTCCTCGGATGAGTTCCTTGTGAAGGTTGCTGGATACTTGTTACAGTTCAGAAGATATGTCGGCCAAGCTTTCTCCTGGGGGAGCGGAATATAGCAAGTCAAAGATGAAATCTATTAAATGAGGCAGGTAGCTCCTCTAATACACTTACCCAGCAGGCCCGCCATTAGAGACAAGTGCTGTTATTGGCGAACTCCATTCTAAAAGGTTTCGGGGTTAACCACTCAGGCCCTTAGAAAATACTGAGCCAATGGGATTCTGGAGCATGTTTTGGGTACTTTCCTCCATGTCTGTTGAAAGTGCCAAGTGAGGACTGGCACAAGCACGAATTACAGCTTCAGAAATAATTTTCTACTAATGGCTGAAATTCCTCTAGTTTGTCACACACCCCGCCCTTATTGGAAAAGGACAGGGGAGGCAATGAAATATTAACATGCTGTCTGTGGTGACAGCACATCTACCTAATTGTCATTTCACTCGTAGAATTTGAAAATCAGATTTATTTTTATCTAGTTGGGTCTGAGTATGTACCCCCGGCTTTCCAGTAACTTAGTACGTAGACTAGACTGGCCTTGAACTCAGAGATTTGACCTGCTTCTGCCTCTCATGTGCTGGGGTTAAAGACATACACCACTGTGCCTCGCACGAAGTCAGATCTATTTTAATGGATTGAATGTAAATGAAGGCTCAGCAGTATGATGGTCGGCACCATTTTGGGCAGTCAGGAGATTCTAAGTGAAGCTAGGGTTATTCGGTCATACATGTCTCCATTTTACCGATACTCGGTTTCTTTAAGTACTCAAATATCCTTTGATTAAATGATACTAATTGGCTTACTAGGTGGTTCTGCGGGTAAAGGCGCCTGCTTACCAAATCTGTCAGACTGAATTTGATTTCAGGACTCACATGTTAGAAAAACGACTCTTTGCAACTTGTCCTTTGACCTCGACACGTGCACCATGACACACTGATCTCACTCTGCCAGTACATGTGATAAATGATGTTTATTGTCAGCGAGAAAGCACGCCTGGAAGAGTGCTCGCAGGATGCTTTTGCTAGTAATAATCTAGGATTGCTAAATCCACGGTAAATAAGGCCATTCACATATAAGTCTGCGACTGGATCATTTTCATAGCTAGAAATTGGATACTTTTAAATTTTGGGCAAAGAAAAAAAATCAAAGAAAAACTAGACAAGGATAAAAACATTTATATTTTATATAAACTGGTATATGTATATAGTAAAGAAGTCGGGCTTTCTGTCGGCTTGTAATCGCAGCACCCGGAGGCTGAAGCAGAAGGATCTTGAGTCGGACACCAGATTGGGCTACTTAAGACTTTTATAAACAAAATACCACTAAACCCAATTCTGTTTATGGAAATCAGTCCTTCTGTTCTGGGACCTCCCAGCCACACGGGGGCAGAAGAGAGTGCTCTGGGTAAACATGATTTGAAGGCGCTGCCGTACCACTCTGTGGCTCCTCCCAGAATCCTTTGAGACAGGGCAGAGCGTTTAAAAGAGAGTGCAGCTTCCGTTTCCTCGCGAGTGGGAGCATGGCCGGGGTCCTGGACGGAGTATGTTTAGTGTGGTGTGGTGTTTCGTGCATGGTGCGTGTGGGCTGAGTGCGAGTGTGGATGTGGGAGTGTGTGTGCGCGCCTGGGGTGTGCGAGGCGAGTGAGTGTGTCCGCCCCGCGCCCCTCCCCCGCCTACACCTTGATCTTATTTGATCGGGTCGTGACCCCCGCCCCGCCGGGCAGTCCCGAAATGAAAAGCAGCCCTCCTGCGAAGCCCCCTCTGCGGGGCGCTGTGCAGTGAGGCCCCTCTGGGCGGTGGCAGTGCCGAGGTTCCCGAGGTCTCGGGATCGGTCCTGCGGGCCCGGCGCTCAGAAGTGATGAATTGATCAGATAGACGAGGCCGGGTCTGTCCCGGCCACTGATTACCGAGGCGATTCTGATCTGAGCCCGACCCCAGGACACGGCTGCCCAACCCCCGTTCACATCTGCGGCCTAGTTTGCTGACGTTCAGAGACCCGGGGTGTGAAAGCGCCCAGAGCAGACGTCATGCTGCCACTTGCAGATGGAGAGATGGAGGCCTTTGTTTCTGCTGCAGTCCTTCCCCGCCCCCCCCCCCCCCGCCCCCGTCCCGTTTAAGCTGGGCTTTTATCAATAGCGTTCCACCTAGGGCTAAAAGGCGCTACCACTGCTCAGCCTCTGCTGAGGAATGTGTCGGTTAGAGAACATTAACTTAGAAACTGAAGGATCCAGGGACTCACTCCATATATAGTGAATTAGAATGGAGTGTCTAGGGTTTGAGGCTTAAGGGTGGATGTTTTGTTTTATCTTAAGGCAACGTCCCTTATCTTTATGAAGCTGGTGAACTTGGTTTGTAGCTGAAGATGATCTTCAACTGCCTCCCTGCAATTCCCAGGCTCAAATATGTTGAGCCAAGACAAAACAACAACAAAACCTTGAATATGTGTGTGTATTGTGTTCGTGAGAGTATGGGCACTTAGTAGTGTGTGGGGGACACACATGTGCAGATGCTTGGAGGCCTGAAGTTGGCTTTAGTTCCTCCTGGGTGATTCCCCCTACCCCACCCCCGCTGCATTTTCTGAGGCAGATCCTCAGAATGAGGAACTTTGTCTTAACTAGCCATTTGCATACACACATGCACCCATCCAGGATTACAGGTGCACCCACCGGCTTTTATGTGGATTTGGAGAATCGGGACTCTGATCCTCACTTTACTTTCACAAATACTTTATCTACTGAACCACTGCCCTAGCTCTAAAGTAATTTTAATTGACAGATACAGCGTGCTTACTTAGTGATTACTAGTACCTTTGCGCATCGTGTAATGCCTACATTAGGGCAAAGGTACCTATCGTGTGCACTCACGTGTTTTACATATAGGATGCATTATTTTTTGCATCCCCTCACCTTGCAGTAGAACATCATTACTTCTGACAGATAGCAATTGGCCAATCTTTCCCCCATCCACTATTCTCCCTGACTCTGGTCATCACTCTTAGACTATCAACCTGAGAGAGAGCAACTTGTTTAGATCCCACATGAGGAAGATTATGTGTATGGTTTTCTGTGTGTCTCCTTATTTAATGCCCCCCCAGTTCCAGATATGTTGCATAACAGGATTCCATCCTTTTTCCGCGGATGCATACTTCTCTACGGTGCTGGCTACTTTTGTGTCAAGTACACAAGCTAGGTTCATCTGAGAGAAAAGAAACTCAAACCAATCTTGTGGAAGTATTTCCTCAACTGGGCATTTTCTTACTTAGCGATTGATGGGGAGGACCTGCTCCATTGTGGATGAGACCACCTCTGGGCAACTGGTCCTGGATTCTATAAGAAAGCAGACTGAGCAAACAAGTCAGTAAGCAGCAGACTCCATGGCCTCTACATCAGTTCCTGCCTACAGACTCCTGCCCTGTTTGAGTTCCTGAATTAACTTCCTTCAGTGACTGACTACCATGTGGAAGGATAAGCCAAAGAAACCCTTTCCTCCCCTATTTGCTTTGGCCATCGTGTCTCATCAAACCAATAGAGATCCTAAGGCAGTTGTGTACATAGACGCATTTTCTTCACCGCATTTGCAAGCATTTCTACTGCTGAGCAATTCCTAGTTGTTCATCTTTTTGTTTATTTATTTATGGTGATTGTATGTGTGCACAAGTGCTTCTGGGCATGTGAAGCCCAGAGGATAGCTATGGAAGTAATTTCTCTTCACCATGTGGGCTCCAGGGATCAACCTGGGTTACCAGGCTTGACAGCAAGTGTTTTCACCCACTGAACCATCTCAGCCCATATAATGGTCTTTTTATTCATTTACTGACATTTCTCAGCTATTGTGAATTCTGCTACTGTAAAGATGGAAGTATGAGAGTGCACATGTCTCTCCAGAATACTGATTTCATTTTCATTGGTGCACAATACGCTCGCTGGGTGGCTCCTATGGTTTGGTTTGGTTTGGTTTTGAGACAAGATCTCGATGCTGCCGGGCTAAAGCAGTCCTGTCCTGGAATCCCAATAGTAGCTAGGACTACAAGAATGCTGCCGGTCCTAGGTGGTAGTTGTATTCTTTCTTTTCTTATTTTTTGAAACAGATCTGACTATTACAGCCTTGACTAGCCTGGAATTCACCTTGCAGACCAGTCTGGCCTTGAACTCAGAGATGAGCCCCCTCTGCCTTCCAAGCGATGGGATTAAAGGTGTGTACCACCAAATGATCTGATTACAAGCATGCACATTCATCACCCCTAGTTTTTACTGAGTGCTGGAAATCAACCCCAGAGTTTAATGCATGTTGGACAAAGCACTCTACCTATTGAGCCACATCCCCAGACCTTGTACCAGTACTTGCAATCTATGGTTGTCTTAATCCCATTCTAACTAAAGTGGATGATAACTGATGATGAATTTGATTTGCACTTCTGTGACAGTGAGATCAATCTTTCGTATACCCATTGGCCAGTTGCATGTTGTCTTATATTGCTTTCTAGTGGTATGATAAACACCATGACCAAAAGCAAAATGGGGAGGAAACTTAGACTTCCAAATCACAGCATATTAATGAGGGAAGTCACAACAAGAGCTAAAGCACAAACCTGAAGGTAGGAACTGAAGTAGAGACCATGATGTGTCAACCTGACGATCAGAAAAGCAAAACAGACAACCACCAGAGAAACCTTTTACCTCTACTAAATCTTCAGACAGAAGGGGCAAGATAAAGGTCTCCACGAATCCTCAAGCTTCACGCTCCACAGAGTTCCTGTCCCTTCCCCTTTATATTCATCTCTCCACCCAGCCATATTGCTCTGTCTCCACCTCCCAGTGCTGGGATTAAAGGCATGTGATCCCAAGTGCTGGGATCATCTGTTCTCTTTCAGAC